TCATCCTCCAATATTGCAACAGCGTTGGCTATACACCTGATTACAACGTCCTCCTTCAACACGTTGTACGTGTAAATGGAGAGAAGGGTGCTGAGTTCGCATCTCAATTGGCAAAGAATGAGGGCGGCCCATTGGTCAGCATTGATCGCGTTGTCGACATCTTCCAATCCCAAGGCATGATCCAGCAGGCTACCGCCTTCCTTCTGGATGTTCTTTCCAATGATTTGCCAGAAGAAGGACACATGCAGACTAAGTTGTTGGAGATGAACTTGCTCAATGCACCTCAGGTTGCAGATGCTATCTTGGGCAATGAGATGTTCCATCACTATGATAAGCTGCGTATTGCTCAGCTTTGCGAGAATGCTGGCTTGCTGACTCGAGCCTTGGAACACAACGATGACCCTGCAGCCATCAAGCGCATCATTGTCCAGACCGACAAGCTTCCAGAAGAGTGGCTTATCAACTACTTTGGTCAACTGACTGTAGAGCTATCTCTCGAGTGCCTGGACGCTATGCTTACAACAAATATCCGCCAAAATCTGCAAGCTGTCATTCGCATTGCCCAGAAGTATTCTGACTTGTTGGGTGCCACTCGCATCATCGATCTCTTGGAGAAGCACCGTACAGCGGAAGGCTTGTACTTCTTCCTCGGCTCCATTGTCAATGTCAGCGAGGACCCCGATGTACACTTCAAATATATTGAGGCCGCAACTACCATGGGCCAGCTGAACGAAGTTGAGCGCATCTGTCGTGAGAGTAGTAAGTACTCCTTTTCGGAAAGTGGTATAATTTCCGCAGAACATGGTCCTAATATTCCTTACAGACTACCTGAATGGTGAAAAGGCCAAGAACTTCTTGAAGGAGGCCAACTTGACCGAACAGTTGCCTCTCATCATTGTCTGTGACCGCTTCAACTTTGTACATGACTTGGTTCTTCACCTTTACAAGAAGCAGCAATTCAAGTCCATCGAGGTCTACGTTCAGCGCGTCAACCCTGCCCGCACCCCAGCGGTCGTCGGCGGCCTTCTCGATGTGGATTGTGATGAGAGTATCATCAAGGGCCTTTTGGCTTCCATCACACCATCGTCTATTCCCATCGATGAGTTGGTAGCCGAGGTCGAGTCGCGCAACCGTCTGAAACTGCTTCTTCCATTTTTGGAGCAAACCTTGGCAAGCGGTAACCAGCAGCAAGCAGTATACAATGCGTTGGCAAAGATCTACATTGACAGTAACAACGACCCTGAGAAGTTCCTGAAAGAGAATGATCAGTATGACACTCTTGTTGTCGGAAAGTACTGCGAGAAGCGTGATCCAAACCTCGCCGCGATCTGTTATACCAAGGGCCAGAATGATCTCGAGTTGGTCAACATCACAAATGAGAATGCCATGTACAAAGCTCAAGCCCGTTACCTACTTGAGAGGGCCGACTCCGAGATTTGGGATTACGTACTGAGGTAAGTTCACTTGTTGCTTCACGTCAATAATGGAGTCTGGCTAACTTGCTACCAGTCCTAACAACATTCATCGCCGATCACTTGTTGATCAGGTCATCTCATCAGCGGTACCTTCTTCTACCGACCCAGACAAGGTTTCAGTTGCAGTCAAGGCTTTCATCACCGGAGACATGCCTGCCGAGCTGATTGAACTGCTGGAGAAGATTATCCTTGAGCCTTCAACTTTCAGCGACAACCCTTCCCTCCAGAACTTGTTGATGCTCACCGCTTGCAAGTCTGATCGTGGCAGGGTCATGAACTACATCCAGCAACTTGACCAGTACACTCCCGAAGACATCGCACAGCAGTGTATTGAGGTTGGTATGTATGATGAGGCTTTTGAGATCTACAAGAAGCACGAGAACCACGTCGAGGCCGCCAACGTTCTCATTGAGCACATCGTTAGCATCGACCGAGCACAAGAGTACGCCGACCGTGTCGACTTGCCCCAGGTATGGAGCAGAGTTGCAAAGGCACAACTCGATGGCCTCCGTGTTTCAGACTCGATTGAGTCTTACATTCGCGCCGAAGATCCGTCCAACTTTTTGGAAGTAATCGAAATTGCCACCCATGCTGGCAAAGACGAAGATTTGATTAAGTTCTTGAGGATGGCTCGTAAGACCCTCCGTGAAGTTCCCATTGATACAGCATTGGCTTTCTGTTTCGCTCGCACAAACCAGCTAGCGGAGCTCGAGGACTTCCTACGCGCTACCAACGTTGCTGATGCTGAAGCTTCGGGAGACAAGGCTTACGAAGAGGGCTACCATGAGGCTGCCAAGATCTTCTATACTAGCATCTCCAACTGGGCCAAACTTGCCACTACTCTCGTCCACCTTGAGGACTACCAGGGTGCGGTCGAATGTGCCAGGAAGGCGAACTCGATCAAGACATGGAAGCAAGTCAATGAGGCCTGCGTGGCAAAGAAGGAGTTCCGCCTTGCCCAGATCTGTGGTCTCAACTTGATTGTCCATGCCGAAGAACTAGCAGACCTCGTTAAGCAGTATGAACGCAATGGCTACTTTGATGAGCTGATCAACCTTCTTGAAGCTGGTCTTGGCTTGGAGAGAGGTAAGCACTCCTGTTCAACTTTTCTATGAGACATGTACTAATATTTTCTAGCTCACATGGGAATGTATACCGCCCTCGGAGAGTCGCTTGCCAAGTATAAGCCTGAACAAGTCATGGAGACAATCCGTATTCACTGGGGTATGTGTAGCTATCCAGCTTCATGACTGAACACATCTAACATGGTAATCATTTAGGCCGTATCAACATCCCCAAGATGATCCGTGCGGTAGAGGAGGCTCACCTCTGGCCTGAACTAGTGTTTTTGTATGTCCATTATGACGAATGGGACAATGGTACGACACCCCCGCCCTGCATTCTGCACTTGCAAATATGTCCGATGCTAACCTCTTCTAGCGGCACTGGCGATGATGGAGCGGGCCCAAGATGCCTGGGAGCATCAGGCTTTCAAAGACACGATTGTCAAAGCTAGCAACGTCGAGATTTACTACCGGGCGCTAGGATTCTACCTGGAGCAACACCCCACTCTCTTGACCGACCTCCTACAAGCGCTTACTCCTCGAATCGATGTCAACCGCGTAGTCCGGATGTTCACCAAGTCTGACAATATTCCTCTGATCAAGCCTTTCCTTCTCAACGTTCAGTCACAAAACAAGCGTGAGGTGAACAACGCTCTCCACGAGCTCCTTATTGAGGAGGAGGACTACAAGACACTCCGCGATTCGGTCAACAACTACAACAATTATGACCCTGTCGATCTTGCACAGCGTCTGGAGAAACACGATTTGGTATTTTTCCGCCAGATTGCGGCCGACATCTACCGCAAGAACAAGCGTTGGGAGAAGTCCATTGCACTGTCTAAACAGGACAAACTCTTCAAAGACGCTATCGAAACTGCCGCAACATCTGGCAAGTCAGAGGTTGTCGAGGACCTGCTTCGCTACGTAAGTCGATCTGTGATGTTGTTAGGGTGCAATGCTAATTCCTTGTATAGTTTGTTGACATTGGCAGCCGCGAATGCTATGTCGGTATGCTCTATGCCTGTTATGATCTTCTCCGACCAGATGTCATCCTTGAGATGTCGTGGCGCAATGGTCTTCATGACTTTACCATGGTATGTATCAGTCACTTGGTATTACATTACATATACTAACGTCTCGTAGCCATATATGATCAACCTCATCGCCCAACAGACAGCAACTCTTGAGGCGCTGAAGAAGGACAACGAAGAGCGCAAGGTTCGTGAAGCCTCGCAGCAGAAGAAGGAGGAGGACACGCCAATCTTGGGTTCGCGTCTTATGCTCACGCAGGGCCCTATGGGCTCAGCTCCGTCTCCAGGTCCTTATGGACAGACGAATGGCATTGCTCCACAGCCCACTGGAGGCTTCCGACCTTTCTAGGAATATGTAGTATGGCAGATATGATTTCTTTGGAATGTAGGGGTGGCCAGGGTCAACTTCGACTAATGTATTGGCATTCGGTGGGGCGTGCAAAAGCTAGCAATGGGTGCACCCATTCAAGCAGTATGAGTGTACTTTAATGCAGATGATTATATGGTTCTATGATATGTTTTGTTATGGACAGTGCGGATGCAATACATGTATTGAGTGAGTGAGAATATGTCGAGAAAAAAGATCTGCGCTGCTAATAGATATGCAATTACGGAAATTCTTGCTACGTCTTCTCGGATAGAATATGCCCTAACTTTGTGTCTACATCTCCCATGATGCTTGTGTTCTGGATGCGGCATGTAGCTATGCAACTGTTATTCTAGATTCTACTTCACCAAACATTCGTTCTACATATCGACTGACATGTTCGGAATATCAGTACCTTACCCACATTTTTGTTCGACAAACGCTCCTTAAGGTTGTCAAAACGACATGGGATCTAATGGTATGGAACACACAACTCCCTGTGCAGTAACTTGATACGAACCTGGGGAGAAAGTAAGTAGCAAATTAATTGCAGAGGTCCTTCCTAATCCGACTGCAGTCTACAATGGCCACCAACGCACCGGGGATATTTGTGATGCACTAAGCCGCCGATGCTGTTGAAATGATTTGTTCCTGGGCATCAATTTCCAACCACGACCTAATCGTAAACCTAGACAATCTATTTTTTTTCTTCCTAAAATACAAACCATCAGGCCTGCCCCTGCCATATTTCAACAATATTCACAATGATTTGCTCGCTATTGCTACGCGACACGCCACCCCCTGGAATTATTAAGCGCCAGATACAGTTAGTATATTAGGCGACCACTGGCAGTTGCTGATGCATCATCACCAATGCAAGGCACGACAACGTTGTGACTCGTAGGACGGAGACCGGATGGAAAGCCAGCCGGAGTGTAGCGCTGTTTCCTTTTCATAAATATAAAGAGAGTGTTGGATATGACATACTAGTTCAGTCGTTCCCCGGATTTCCAGTACTCCCATAGCATAATTGCCAATACACCGCATTACTTCGATATTCACCATGCGTTCTTATAACTACATGACACTGTTTGCAGGCGCTGTTCTCGCGCAAGAATCTGCTACAGTCATAAACTTCTTCCAGTTCGACAGCACACTCACTGTACTGGGCTCAGACGCCAAAGCAACTACATTCCAAAACTCCTGTCCCTCAGACGCCGCCGGTATCTCTGCAGTACCATCCGACTTGCGTATGTTGGAGCTTGAATTCCTCAAATTGTGAAGTATATTCTAATGTCTACCCAGTCCCAACTCCTGACGATGCGTCGGCTACCCCAGCACCTACACCCGCGCCTCGCATGCGCCGGCAAGCCAGTGCTTCTGACGACGACTATATCTTCTGCGAGCCCTACACAATCGTCCAAGGCCCAGAGACTTACGAATTCCATCTCACCGACCCCGTCCCCGGCGCATGGACCGTCGACATGAAATGCAGCTGGAAAGGCGAGATGACAAAGGCAGACTTGACCTGCGACGTCACTCAAAGCGGGCGTATTCCTGACCAGAGCGTCCAGCTAGCAACTACGAGTGTGCTGCCTCAGAGTGAAATCCAGGATATGCAGGCATACCAGGTGGTGAGCCTGGTGAGCGCAAGTGGTGCGGCTTCGCCCGCTTCGGCTTCGGCTTCAGTGACACCCACACCTACAGCTACGCGTGCGCCATCGGCTAGTGGTTCAAAGGCGCCGGCGAGTTCGGGATCTAATGCTGCGTCGACACCAAGTCAGGGTTTTGCGCCTGCTGGGCCCCTGCCTACGGGCGCTATGAAGGTTGTTGGAGGTGCTGTCGGTGTCTTTGCTGTAGCAATGGCGCTGTAAGGGAGTTGAAGATGTTGACCAAAGTATGTATTAGCCATTGATCTCGTATACCCATATAACTGTAATGTCCATCTCTACCTTTCCATCCATCTCAAAAGGTTCTAGTCACAGTCGCTTTCATTTTGTCATTGTCATGCTGCGGTTTGCTTCAGTCAACAGTGCATGTGTATCCCACGCTTACCTTTGAGTTTTCACTCTCACCTAGAGTTGGTGTCGTGGTGACGCGCACTTCTGTTTGCTTCAGATTCCGCAGTGAGCGGTTCACTGTCCCTTATATAAGACTTGCGGTTTGCCCGACCTTTTTAACTTTCTGCACCACCAGGCGAGAGTCGTACATTTCAATCTCAACAACAAGTAGCCATGGCAGCCCCAAGTACTGGGGTGCCATGGGCGATCCCAGCCAGATCGAAGTTGCGACCCTCGACCCTCAGGCGTCATGCATCTGCGCCGGCGGAGTCGTCGACGGAGATTTGGACCACAGGTCAAGAAAACACCACGGTAGGGAAACCCCCGTCAGCCCTGTACAATCTCCCCCCTGTCCATTCTCTACAAAACCAAAGTCTTCTCAGCGAGATTGCCGCGACGCAAGCCCTCACCACCCACTTGCGTCGTGACCGCGACGCCTGGCGCACCCTCGCCCAGGAGCACTCAAAAGCCCTCAATGAGGCAAACAGAAAGCTCAAAGACCGCGAGCACATGATTTCAGAGCTCCAAAAAAGCAAAGCCTCGCTCAAGTTCCAATGTGACACTTCCGAAGCCCTAAACTCCGACCTCAGCTCTTGCCTCAAAGAAGCAACAATGAACCTCGACGAGGCAACCAAAATGCTCGAAGCCGCAACCACCAAGCGCGACCATCTAGCCTCGCAACTCGACGAAGCCAAAGCAAACATGACCAAACTCCGCCGCAGCGACCGCACCAAGGAAAAAACGCAGCAGCAAAACCTACACCTCAAAGCCCTCTTGCACCACCAATCCGCAAAATACAACAACAACACCAACACTGCCAGATACAACAACAACACCAACACTGCCAGATACACCACCACCACCACCACCGCCAAACGCAGCACCACCGCCACCCTCCGCAGCGCCACCACCGCTCTCAACCAAGACATGCTGCAATCCGCGCTTTCATCCGCCATGGAGCGCATCGACTCGCTCGAGGCGCGCGGGGGGCAGGCGCTACTGGATGCGCCGGAGGAGCAAGGATGACAGTAATGGGGGAAGATGAAAGAGGGGGGTTGTGATGACGGAGAGGCGGCGGCGGCGGCGGCGAAGTTGCTCGAGGCGCAGGTGTTTGAGGGGATAAAGGGGGGGTTTGCGGTGCAAGAGGCCCGACGTGGGCGCGCGCCTATTTGCTTTGAATGGATTAAAAGATGTAGATGATGGTGTGTGCAAGAGATGGGATTGAGAAAGAGAGAGGGGACGGGGGGGGGGGCATGCTGAGCGATGTTTGTGTCGCTTTGAAAATATCCCACTTTCCCTCCTCCCTTCCCCCCCTTTTTTTTGGGGGCATCGTTCTGTGGTGATGGTATGACTGCCTCCCCCCGTCTTTTTTTATATACGGACTTGGGTTTTTTCATTCCACATGGGTTGGATTTTTTTTTTGGGGGGGGGGGCGTCTTTCGACTGGCTTTCTTTTGGGGGAGGGGTATCCAGGATGGTAAAGTTGGTGGGAAGGACTGACTTCGGGCGGTTGTTCTCTCCAACGCTCGACTGCGCCCAAGTTGGAATTCAAGTCTTGGAAGTTGTTTTTTTTTTTTGCAATCATGTGGACCGTGAGAAGGGGGGGAGGGGGCGGGGTGATGCGAGACTTTTGTATTTTGACGACATTCACCCTGGCATTCCTCTCCATCTTGGGTTCTGCTGTTTTTTTTTCTTCTGTGCAATATACTAAGACTTTTTTTTATCAATTTCAGAAAGTGAAGCTAAGCGATGAGGTCGTTTTTTTTTTGTATTCCTGGACTTTTAATCTAGTTTAACTAGTTCTTAGTCATGTAATCCCCATGGCTTTGGCTACATACGGAATCGTAAAAAAAAGATGAAGTTGATTGGAATCTCGAAACTTTTTTTCAAGGTAGCAAACAAAAATCTACTTTATTGCCCCACTAAAGAAAAAATTGGGGAAGCAAGTTTGCAAAAAGATAAAAGTGGACGTGAAAGGGGTCAAAATGGGTATTCTCCTGACATACGGCTACTAACTACGAATGGGTATAATGGCAGCGAGGATTTTTTAAACATGGTCAAGATAGGTGTGTTAAAAGGCCAGCCTCTAGGACCATTTCACGTGGGTGTACAAATAGGGATAGATGTGCAAATACACAAAAAGAAAAACTGTAGAATAAGCGGAGACTAATGCCGCAACTTGAAAATTACAATCATCCTAGTAGACAATATATGGAGCAAGGGGGGGGGGAGGGGATCAAGGGGGTATCTCTTACGCATACACGCGCTCATTCGTATTTGTGTAGTTGGTGCTACAGTCGGCTTCAGTTTGGCCCTGTAGACTGCGGTCCATGTACATGGGAATCGCCAGGTATATTTGGTACGCCTGATACGCCATCGCCGAGCAGACTGCTCATATCGTGCCAATTCCACTCGCTCATATTGTTGATGGTAAAGTCCATAAAATGCATTTGCGTGTTTCGATCATACCGGCCAGTGGGATGAATGGCCGGACCAACGTACGGTTGTTCTGGGTATCCGCGGCTCTGCATGTCATCTGCAAACATGTACGAGCCAACCGCAGGGGGCGATTGGTGGTACATGTGCGGCACGGTAGGTGGCTGTGTCAGTGGCTGAGTTGGGAGTGCGGGTTGCAGTAGAGGCTCATGAGATTCTGTTTTTGGTTCGGAGATGCGGACGGGCGAAGCTAGCGAGTCGGCCATGGAATGTAGTTCGGGAACGAGGGAAGCAAACTTCTCCAGGGTGCCGGGCATGTAGGGATTCCGGCGGTGCCGCTGGGCGAGGTCGGCAAGCTGGGAGAGGAGAATACGGGATTCAGACATGTCAGTACCCTCGAGCTTGTTTAGACAAACCAGGTCGAGAACTAGTGCCGAGCTTGAAGCTAGCATGTACCAGACATCGAATGAGACGACGGGATCAAATACTCCAAGATGATCTGACTTGAGCAGCAACTGGGCCAGGTCGCGGCCGGCTTCCGAACAGGCGTCCGCCATTGCTATCAGAGCTGGATTGGTCGAGTCAGTGCCGGCTTTGGACAGTGTAGAAGCGCGAGCAAGAAGTGCTGAGCGACACAAAACAATCATGGTGTAGTGATGGAGACTGTGCATCGTAACCAGACTCCGTCGGCTGGCGGGTGGGGTAGCGTCAATGGCTTCTGGTTGCAAATGTTGTGGGAGCGTCTCCTTCCATCGGCCCAGGTCGCGCAGGACAGATGCGGCAGGGGACAGGGGTCCGACATAGGCCTCGTCGCTTGCGTTTGGCTTGAGTGTCCTAGGGGCGCGACATACAGTGCCCAACAGCGCCGTCAGACGACAATAGGCGGCCAGGATGCCAGGAGAGCCGTTGATAATCTTGTCACTGGGGTAGCGGAGTTTTGCGCCGGCCATTTCCATAGCGCTGGGGCGGTCGTAGGAGGATATCTGCATCGTCTCAAAGCCATAGAGGACCCACCACAGCATGCGGCGCGTCTCCTTGGCGAGGGGCGTGCTGCCGGCGCTCACGCTGTCCTGGTGCAGGCCAATGGCGTGGGCTATGCGGATGGCGGCGCCCGTCAGGTTCCAGCAGGCGTCGCGGTGGTTGGTGTTGTGCAGGTGCAAGGCAGCGAGCATCAGGGCCTGGACAGCCGTGACGCTCGAGGTGAAGATGACGCCCGGGAGCAGCTTCTGGACGCGGTGCCACCACAGCCGCTCCTGGTCCTCGGCAAAGGAGACGCGGGCGACACGGCGGGCGAGCAGCAGCATGCAGGTGAAGGTGCACAGCCAGGCGGGGTCTGCATTGCGGGGGTCTGCGAGCCAGGCATCGTAGGCCTCGCGGAACGAAGGCTCGTGCAGGACGGGGATGTCTGGGTGGATGCGGTCGAAGAAGGTGCGGACGAGCAGCTCGAGGGTCGGGCGCTGGTTCGGCGCGAGCTGGGCAGCGGCGGTGGCGGGGTCGAGGGAGGCGGGCGGGTTGGACAGGGCGTGGGGGTGGTGGTTGTGATGGGCGTGGTGGTGCAGATGGTCGGTGGCCTCGGGCGATGTCGAGGCGGCGTTCTTGCCAAAGAGGACAAACTCGCGCAGAGGCCCGCGGCCGACGAGGGTGCGCAGCTTGAGGTGGAAGGCAAAGGAGCTGGCGGGCCCTATGTACTGCACCTGGCCCTGCTGGTCGGGGAGCAGCGAGACGGTGTCGTCGCCGTCCGGGTCGTGGTCGTGGTCGTGGTCGGCATCGCCCTGGGCAGCGACGGATTCTGGGAGGGGGATGCCGTGCGAGGTGGCGAGCTGGCGCAGGGCATCGGTGCTGGAGACATCGGCTTCTGGCAGCAGGCCCTTGACGAGGGCCTCGAGCAGCGCCAGGCGGGTCCCGAGGCCCTCGACACTGCCGTACAGGCGCTTCTTGCGAGGCTGCGTGGTAAGGCATTCAATGTTGTGTACCATGCAGTACCGGCACGCGTCCTGGCCAGGCTCCTTGCGGCATTTCTGCTTGCGCGACTTGCATTTGTCGCAACTCGTCTCGGTGCGCTTGCGTTTGTCGAGCGGGACTCGGCGCGAGTTTGTTGTCGGCGCGGGCGTCGAGGAGGACATGGGGGCGGGATTCACGACGCAGGGAGAAGAAGAAGCATGGCGGTCGTGGTGGTCGTGTGCACGTCTCGACCACGCTGCCCACTCGTCCAAAACTGCCGCTGCCAGTGCGAGATGCGAAAGCGATTGCGCCGAACTTTTCAATCGTAGTGCAGGGACTCGGTGTCGCGGCCAGCCCGCCCAGCCCGCCAGCCCGCCAGCCCGCCAGCCCGCCAGCCCGCCAGCCTGCCATGGGGCGTCTTCCCGGTCCGTCGGGAATTCGCCCACTAACAGTCCAGCACTCGACACTGCGGCCGCGCCCACCACCACGCCCACCACGCGCACTACACCTACCACCACCACCACCACCACCAATGCCTCCACTGCCGCCTTCTCCACCATCGTCTCCTTGCCCGTGGGCCCTGCTGCCCCGCCGCCGCCTGCCACTGTGCGCCCTGCCGCCCTGGCCTGGCCTGGCCTGGCCTGCCCTGCCCTGCCCTGCTGCATCGCCTCACATCGCCGATGCATGTGTGAATTGGGTCGACAGCCATCGCCAGCCATTGGCACGCCAGCTCACACGCAGTCTGCATGCGGCTCCGAAGCATGCTTTGGGCCTGGTTGCGCCACCGTTTGATGATGCGGGGAACTCGGATGCCAACCGACAGCGAGCGTGCTGCCAGCCTACCCTACTACGTCCGCCGTACTCTGTACGTCCAGAGCAGTAAGCACACACTAACCCGCCTGTCGCACATGACTCGGCCCTGCTCTCCTGCACGATCGATTGCGCCCCGCATGACTCGGCCTATCGCTGCTGCATCCCTCCACCCAGCCTACCTACCTACATGTTCCCGTTGCGAGGCACACGCCGCCATGCCGAGCCAGGCCTAGCCACGGCATCCTCCGTCTGCCATCACCACCACCATCGCTATTCTTACCCTTGTGGGCAACACCACTCGCCCACCCTGCATCCTCCCAACTACACACCTGCCGCCTTCTAGAGCACGCCCAACCTCCCTCACCCAGCACTAAAGAGCAAAAAGCAAACAAAGCGACTTGTGCACCCTCTACTAGCCGTGTTTCGGACCACGAATTGTGTACCAACACCACAACAGAACCCTTTTTTGCCCCCTTCGACCTGCATCCGTCGTGCCGCTCTACGTTTTGCTAGTGCCACTTCAGGCACCTGCAGCCACCCTGCCAGCTGGTTTCAAAGCCCCAAGCAGCAGGGTCCGACCACTGCCACTAGCCCATGCCAGTTTCAAGTCGTCGGTAGGCCTTAAAACCCGTGTACCGTATCAATGGCTACACTGCACGGTACTTCGGGGATCTGTTGTCTACAGATCGTCGGCTGGTCTAGAGTCTGGGCCATGTTCAGATACCAAAGGCCCGAAAAGACCCACCCAAATCCTTCCTCGTGTCCCGGTACTGCTTCCGCGTGCCGCGCAAACTCGAAAAGCGCACCAGCTACCACCCATGCCTCAATCATACTGCATACTCTCCCCGCTGACACGTTTCCATGCCACGGCCCTCCTCCTCCAACCACGATCCGCACCCACCCAATTGACTCCATCCTCCCCTGGCCGCCGCGCTTGCATCTTGCGCCATCGGCTTGGTAATCTTGCTCCCGGTCCAGGACTTGCCGACTGGTACAACGTCATCCACGGCCTTCACGGCTCACCCTACCCTTTCCAACACTGTGCCAATCTCTCCCGATCAAGTTTATGCCCACACTTGCTCTCCGTTTCGGGCCACAGCAGGCATCAAACGGGCCATTGCAAGACAATTGTGGTCAATCATCACCTATTGCAGCCATCGTCGTCACAAGGGCGAAGATGGCATGCATTTCGCACAGCGGAGCAGCTCGGAAATAATTAAACTGCAGGGGCAATGCCAGCCCAAGATTGTTGCTATTGCTTTGGCGGTCAACCGCGCCAATACCGGAAGCATGGCAACATCATAGCTAATGCCTAACATCATGTACATGCTGATCAAGAAAAACCCCTTCCGTCTCATGCATCATCTCCAATCATGCGCCATTTACTCATCGTCTAGGCATAGGCCCGCTTGTCCTACCACATACGCAATTGCCCACCTGGCCGCACTTACAATTGCGTAGGGTAGTCCAATGTCTCAATCTTGTCAGGGTATACCAGCCCCCCCTGTTTCCTTACCTCATCCATAGCCTCCATGATCAAGACGCTCTCATCCAGGCCCAGGAACCTGCCCTCCTTCCGGCCGTTGATGATGGCATCAGCTGCCTCATCCGCCTCCCAGAACATGCCCTGACCCTCTCCTTCTGATTGTAGTGAGCCACCAAAGCCGTTGTACCAGCCGCTTCCCTTACCTGGGCCTGGGATGGGAAATTCCTTGGACTCGACCTTGCCGTCCTTGGTAATAATCTTGGTCGAGAGAGGCCGGAACGACGCCCCAAACACTTGGATCTCGCCCAATGGTCCTTGGATACGAACAAACGGTGCGTCCATGTTTCCCCCATATGACGTAGCCACGCGAATAGACGTTGTGGCTACAGCATGAGCCTCACCGCCTTCTTCCTTTGAGCGCGGGAATCGTAGAATCACGGTGCTGTGCTCATCAGCCATTCCGGTCGGCTCGTAGTTCTTGACAAAGGCCTGCAGCTGGGGCGCCTGGCGTGTCTTCTCAGGCTGTGTGTGGTATATGGTCTGGTAGACCCAGGTCAGAGCGTAGATGCCGAGATCAAGCAGGGCGCCACCAGCCAGGTCTGGGTTGACCATACGGTTCTTGCCATCGGCAAAGTTCTTCTCGGGGTCGAGCGCCATGCTGTTGTCGGAGAGGACGCGCGTGACGGGTCCGATGCGTCCAGCAGTGATTTGCTCACGCACGTATATCGACAGAGGAAAGTAGCGAGTCCATACCGCCTCCATCAGGAACAGGTTCTTTGACCTGGCAACCTCGGCAAGCTTCCGTGCCTGGGCAGCATTGACGGTAAAGGCCTTTTCGCACAGCACATTCTTGCCCGCCTCCAAGCACAGCATGGCATTCTGGTAGTGGTGCGAGTGCGGCGTGGCAATGTACACAACGTCAATGTCTGGGTTCTTGACAAACTCCTCATACGATCCGTATGCCTTTGCGTCCGACGGCGCTCCGACCTCCTTGAGAAAGTCTTTGGCGCGCGATTCCGACGTCGACGACGCGGCGGCAACAACCGTGTGCTTGAGATGGTTCACGCCGCGAGTCGTGGGATCGCAGAGCAAATCCCTGGTACTGTTGTTGTCCCGTTAGCCTGCTGCTATAGCCATCTATGGTGTGGGGGGGATGTGGTGGCACCATGGCGGGGTAAGCCATTACAACGTACAAGGTGAGGGCGATACCTCCTGTCGCCAGGATACCCCAACGGACCGTCTTTGGTGAAGACATTATCGAGTTTGCTGTTGTCTGTTTTGTTCTTCCTTGTCTGGGAAAGCAATTGGCAATGACAAAGTGCTAAGCAACAGTACAAGAGAGTGCTTCGTGGGCAGCGAGGGTATGTTGATGATTTGTACAGCTAGTGGCTGCAGAACTCAAACGTCATGGAACTGCTACCCCACTCTTTTACCGCCCCTCCATTTCATCTTGTTGCCGGTGCCTAAAGGAAACGACGGGCCGCGGAGCGTAGTGCGAGGCGATTGTAGACGCAGGGAGGACATGACTTCTCAAGTGCACTATACCGTTTTTTGGTCCGTGCAGTGTGTATATTCATGTTACACTATGGCGCGATGCATTGCTCAAACAACAACAACAGACCATTTCTTTTCACCGGTATATCCCAACTTGAGTCCCACCACGACGCTATTTTGGATAGTCTTCTATCTCCAACTCAACCCCGCACATCCTCCCCGCTAGCCTTAGCTACTCTCCATCTTCAAAACGGAAACTTAAAGTACACCATCGCCCTCGTCGGCGACCCGCACGTCTGACTTGAATCTCCAGGACATTTCGTCCAACACTCGACCGCCAGAGCACGCATAATGCCATGAGTTGTCTTCATGCACGCGCATCCATTTCCATGTCCGACGATAAAACTCCCCATGTTTGGAGCAGACGTTTGCGCATTCCCACAGACCATCATTTGAGAGTCTGCGGTAGTTTTGGCCCCAAGTGTTCTTGCCGTTGTTCGTCTCGACACAGCACTCCGAGGGCAGAAATGTAAAGAGTATCTTGTTTTCCAACTCTTGTTGCTTGGCTGCGAGTTGTGCTGATTGTATCTTCTCGCGATCCACCAGCTCTTGTTGCTTTGACACCAGTTGTTCTTGTAGTGTCTACTCACGCTCTAGGCACTGCGTGTTGCTCGCCTAGTACTCGTCTAGCGAAGGACAGGCGGTTACATTGGCTCTAATCGGTGAGGGGACGAGCTGCTTGAATGTGATGCCGTTTGTGCACGTGCATGAGCAGTCGTGGTTGTTCAGTGACGGGTCTATACAAGTGATTGAGGGGCTAGCGCCTATGCATTGGTATTATATGTATCAAGTTGCTACTGTTGTTAGGTTTTAGTTGCCGTTCTCGCCCTCGTACATGGTTCCAGGGAGGTCGAGTCCGCCCATGGCATATTGCGTGTCATTGGCAAAGACAGTTATTTTGTAAAGGGCGGAAACAACGAGCATCCAAGAGGCACGTATTGTAGCTTCAGGTAACAAAGTTAGAGTATAAAAGATGTAGGGTTGAAACTGATGGCCAGGACATCTTCGGGAACTGTGGTTTTATAGAACTTCATTCTCTAATCCATTCCCCAGGCTAAAGTTCTGCATCTTCATACAGCATGAGTGATACCGATTAAGATGCATATCCAGATTGCAGGAGGTGTGCTGGATGTAACGATGGCATGCCCGGAAACTTGGCAAAGACAGCCTCTTTTCGAGCCTTTGTTTTTCAGTCCCTTTCTTTTCCCCGGTTCTCATTTTCCATTTTGAAAAGTCTCCGTTTGTGCAACATCTATCTTGCCAATTTTCACCTGCTCGACAATCCTATTAGTTCTCATACCGTCCTTTTAACCACATCACTCCCTAAAAAAAACGCAGTATGAAAAAAAGAGAGAGATCAGAACTATGTCCCCAGACCCTGTCCATCCTGTCCACCACTTCCATCTACACATTCCCTCTCTAGCCCAAAGCCACCCAAACAAAGCAAATAACAAACGTGTACTGAAATATCGCTCAACTTTTTTGAAGCATCCCAAGATGAATAAATCATTCTCACTTGCCAGAAACTGACTTGACTGGATTTCACAAGCCTCAAAGCCCTCTACCCTATATTCAAAACCCCTCGGTATGATAGAATAGCTCAAACACTACTCGAGATATCGCTACACTGTGACTTACAGTGCTGCAGCCACAAGCGTCACTGGAGCGGATACATGGATGCACTGTTGCAACGTGGAAAACGCACCGATAGGGTAGGATAGTATGTGGATTCCAGGGAGGTGGGAGAGTAGGTGGGAAAGGTGGTGAGATAAAGTGTAGTGTAAGAAAACAGTGTCCAGATATGTTGCTGTTGATTGGTGTCACGTGCAGTTGTTGTTCAGGTCATCTGCCAACACTGATTGGAACGGCATTTTCGTACTTGAGGTGTTAAAAAAGAGGTATAGAAAAAAATATGACTCTTGCAGAATGGAGCACCAATCGTTGAGAAGGAAAGTAATTTTTGAAAGTGCATGTGCTTAATATCCAGCACTGCTAGCCGATTGGTTCATGCCGAGATAGCCTCGCACAACTTGCGACCCAACACTACGCTCCCTGGACCCATCAACACACGAACCCAACTGAGCCCTCGTTGATAGCATAGCTAGTTACTGATTCTGTCATACATGGACGTAAAACAAGCTTCCTGCCAAGCTACAGATCCGGGGATTGCGCGATTCGGCACGTGGTGTGTCTTCATTTAAACAAATTACTTTCGATAGCTTATTGACTTAATATATCGACTATTAGCCAGGTCATCTCAAGTCACCGAGACCTCCATTGGGATATTTCTACGGTTACAGCTGACCTCACAAGGTAATTCGAACCCCACAAACAACTCATGTTATTCCATCTTGGATTAAACAAAGGACGAGCAAGCAAAAAAAAACTGAGAAACATCCTCATCCTCACGGAATCTTGGAGATACCCAACATTATTTTCCTACGGCCTCGCTGAAACACACCTAGACGGAACTGTCACCCGGCTGGTCCTATATGCCAGACGTATTATATACAAATTGTCCACTAGGGAGGCGAGGCCTTGAGAATACCCCAGTGTTCACTATGAGAGTGCCTACGCGTCACAAACGAAGCCTTGCAGGACGATTAATATCTATTCCACCCGCATTATACCACGTGTGGAAGACCGAACCCGGATTCGGGGGAAAAACAAGCTTTGTGTCTATACACCCAGATCATCCGACCCGATATGCCTCAAAGCCCCGCCTTTCGAGACGTGCTGGAGGCGAGGTACAACCGAGCATACAGTGTAGTGTTCAGCTGTATATCAGTATAAAAGGATTGTAATATTCAGTACACTGTCACACTGAAAGTCACTTCTCATCATCTCCTCCATCTTCTTACTTAGTCTGTCAAACGCCCCATATATTCCATGATGAAGAACACACTTCTCTTAACCAGCATATCTACCTTTGCAACCCATGTTGCCGCCCACGCGACGTTCCAGGACCTCTGGGTCAACGGAGTCGACAAGATATGTACCCTTTAAAACCATTTCTTCCACAACACTAACACCCACCTACCAGTCCACCTGCGCAAGACTACCCAACAGTAACAGCCCCGTCACCTCGGTAACAAGCAACGACATCCGCTGCAACGCCAACCAAGGCCCCGCCGCCTCCAAATGCAGCGTCCCAGCCGGCACCACGGTAACCATCGAAATGCACCAACAAAACGGCGACCGCTCCTGCGCCAACGAAGCCATCGGCGGCGCCCACTACGGCCCTGTCCTCGTCTACCTCTCCAAAGTCTCCGACTCCTCCACCGCCGACGGCTCCACCCCCTTTTTCAAAATCTTCGAGGACACCTGGGCGCTCAATGCGTCTGGCAGCAGCGGCTCAGACGACTACTGGGGCACCAAGGATCTGAACAAGAACTGCGGCAAGATGGACGTCAAGATCCCTGTGGACCTCGCCGCGGGAGACTACCTCTTGCGTGCTGAAGCTATCGCGCTGCATACGGCAGGGAGCTTAGGCGGAGCGCAGTTTTACATGACGTGTTATCAGATTACCGTTACAGGAGGTGGCTCGTCGGTTCCGTCTGGCGTTTCTTTCCCGGGCGCGTACAAGGCGTCTGATCCCGGCATTCTGATTAATATCTACCAGAAACTCGCCTCGTATGTTGCACCGGGTCCTGCGGTTGTTGCGGGTGGCACTGAAGCGGTTGCTGGTCAGGCTGGGTCCGTGGTTACGGCTACGGGGGGTCCACCGGCTGCTACCCCGACTCAGACGAGTACGTTGAGGACGTCGACGGTGGCTTCGTCTGCGGCGCCGGCGCCGACGGATGGTGGTGGTGCGGGAGGTTGCGTGGTTGCCAAGTATGGGCAGTGTGGAGGCACGGGGTTCACCGGGTGTACTACTTGTAAGTCCATAATACGGAGAGTGAATGTGGTGGTTGAGAAATACTCTTTTTTTTTCTTTTACTGACTATGTATAGGTGCCTCTGGATCGAGTTGCAAGTCATCGGGTGAATTTTACTCTCAGTGCTTGTGAAAGTAATATGAACAAAGTATTTCTATGTGCTTTTAGGCCCTTTTCTCTGTAAATACTTGTAAACCTGTCACTCTTTATATACATGTCCATATCCTTATTTCGGAGTTGAAAATCGTACCGCATCTACATTGATTTCTAATCCTTTTTATACCAGACCTATCAGCGTGGCCATTTCTGCCCTCCAGCACAAATCTTAATAGCCCACGCCCTCTCAGCCATTTTCCACACATGAATTCCGGAATTAAAACCCACAAAGCTACAAACGCACCATCCATTCCGCACCGCGCAAGAACTCCCTAGTAGCCACACAATTCTATTCCGAACCTCCCCACCCTCCTATCCTATCCCCGCTCTCAACCCACAGAACTCCAAATCCATCCTCCATCCGCTCCTTCTCTTTCTTCCTAGCAAACCCGCGGAATAAACTCTTTTCGCATTTCTCGCATACTCCCCTCCTACCCTCTCCCCGGGCCTATCAAACTACAAAAGTACGTTCGGCATTGGACGCCTAACTCCTCCACACCCCTGCACACACTCAACTGCTGCCTAAGCCCTAAGGCACATGCGCGCCATGTCGACTCATACTGACTACCTTTTTTTTAAACTCCGCTTACTTCTTTTGCGCGTCTCAGCTGCACCTGTGAGGTCGGTATGTGTGGGTGGTGTGTATTCCGAATGGTGCGGTGTATGTGAATGCGACCGGTGAGAGAGAGGGAGAGGGAGAGAGAGAAAGAGTCATATGCGAAGGTGGAGAGAGGTGTGTGTGTGTGTATACATGTATATATGTAAGGGAAAAAAGAAAAGGCATAGATAAATCAACATCACCATCAAACCAAATTTTGATTTATCTTTCCATCCAACTCTTCATCATCATCCCCCTTCCTCTTTTGTTTTGTACAAACAACAACACTTTTTTTTTTCAACAAAGTCAGTCAAAGACAAACACTACTGCAAATCATGTCGTCGTCACACTCCAACACCGCTACTGCTACGACTCCAGTCCAACCGCCACCAGTCTACTCGACTCTCTCGCCACCTTCATACACCGCCCCGTCCGATACAAACTCAGTCGTCTCGCATACGTCGGTGTCGAAGAAGTTTCTTGGTCGAATGTGGAATTCACGAGGTGAGTTTATGCAGCAGTGTGGAAAGTGTGGAGAGAGAGAGAGAGAGAGAAAGAGGGCTGACAGGTGGTGGACTACTAGATGAGGAGAGGAGTGACAAGAAGGGGAAGGGAAAGAAGCAGGAGAGGCAGAGGGAGGTGGAGGAGAAGGAAATCAGGGCTGCGGCGAGGGCGGCGTATTTTGCTGCGCAGTAGGTAGGGCTTAAATTCCTAGGATTTCCCTTTTTTTTTGGTCGGGAGAAATGTCTACGTGGGAAAATACAGAGATTTTAATTGGGGGGTTGCGGATTGTGAGTGTTTGGGTGTTTGAAAAGGTTAGTAGATAGTTTAGTAGATTGGAAAAGGTCGTGTTTTCTTTTTCTTTTGAGATGTTACGGTGTAGTATGTGTTTCTATTGATTTGCATATGTGACATGTTATATATTTTTTTTTCAGGTATCTGAGATGATGGAGGGAATTTGATGCGATATAAGCTTGGGTAGTTGTGGGAAGACATGTATGAAGAATGAGATGGCCCCGATAGATAGTGCAATTTGCAGTCTTGATAGAGAGGCAAAAGCAGGATTAGAAGAAAATGAAATTCTCACTTAATCAATGAATTGGTCTAGTATTCAAAAATTGTGTATTAAAATTTCGAGATGCCATAGCAGGTTTCAAAAAAAAAAAAAAACTCCCCCATAATGACGAGAAGATGAAAAACTCCATCCAATTTCCCAAGGACTTGCAACTGCACGTCCAGTGATAATAGCCTATTACACCAATTACTAGCACAACGCTTTTAAAGGTACAAAAAAATTCCTATGCCTCACAGTTCGTCCCGCACGACCTTCTCCTTCCCCCTATATAATCCTCCTTACTCCCCTTACTCCCACCCGTCGTTTCATCCGTCTTTGTGCGTTCGGGCGGATACCGTCTAACAAAGCACTCACCAACATGATGGCCCTCTTCACACGACACAACCCACTTACCCATACCATAATCATCCGGGGCAATTCGCACACCCCTGCCTCCACCACCTACAATCAAGTTGCCAGGCCGGTACTTTGGATCCGCACGCATGCGCTTGATGACGCTGCAGTGGATAACGGCATCGGCGGGGATATCACGTGTCTCGCCCTTGGGCAGCGGCCAGCGGATAGCTTTCCAGCTGCCGTCTTCTTGCAGGTCCATGCGCCGGAAGGGGAGGTACTCCATTATTCTCCAGGAGACGACGCTCATGCGGCTTACGCCGTTGTTGAACTGCAGGACGTCATGGATGCGGCCCTTGGTCGCGGCGGCGTTGAGGTGCTGGTGGAAATGCGTGTCTGGGGTTTCGCGGTGGTGCAAGAGAATGGTTTCATCGTCGGTGTAGCCCGTGATGCCGCTCGAGTTGATTGCGTCACCGTCGGTGGCTGAGGGCGAGGCGGGGTTGACTTCGATGGTTGGGATGTCGTTGTGGGCCTCGTTGTGGGCGTGGCCAACACCGTCGGACGTGGCGTTTTCGTGCCAGCAGCTTAGGGCTTCAAGCTTCTCCTCGTCGAATTCGAGACCAGCTTTTTGGGCTTCGCGTACCATCCAGACGAGCGGGACGTGGCTTAGTGCTGCGTCTCCGTCTTCAATGGGCCAACCGCCTCCAATGTCCTGCATTGCGTTAGGTTTTTATCAATCATGCAGTCATGTTAAGATTGCACTTACAGCATGGCAGCCGGGAAACCAGACTTCCCGAATGTCTTGCTCGCCTTCTTCATCTTCGGAGTTGTAGGTTGCGCGAGCGTCGACCGATCGCATTGAGGGAGTAGCCGAGCGATTATTGTACCCCTTGCTTGAACTGCGTACTCCCGACGTGTCATGGGGGTTCCTGAATCGCTCAGGAGGAAGCAGATTGCCACTTCGACCTCTGTCTTCCTCGTCGTGATTGTCCTTTTCATCAACATGCTCATGATCGCCATGGCTATGAATCATGTCCTTGGCCTGGTTCAAATGTTTATGGCGGTGCTTATAGTACATGGATCTGTCTGGCTTTTCCTGGGAGATCAAATCTTGTCGGAATTTTGCGCGGCGCTCGTCGATTGAAACTGCATGTCGGATGACGCGGGCGCTACTTCGTGCAGTGTATGGGAACCTGCTGCGCTGCATCCATGCATTCTCAAACGCCGGGACACTGTTGACAGTATCGAAAAGACCAAGAAAGCGGATGGGCTTGACAGGACGGCTAAACGTCTCTCTGAAGGCGCACATGTACTCGAGTTGTTTATGCTTTTCTGACTTTTCGCCAGGCTTCCTGTTTTTCCCCTCCTCTGGAACTCGACATTGCCATTTTTGGAATGTCCTAAATCCTGGTCAGTAGAATCTCGTCATGTCTGCAAAAATCACTTACTTCCACGCAAATTGGCACATCTCCTCGTTACCTGCCTGCTAAGCGTTAGGGTAATGCGTACTACTCTGCAATGGCCAGATATCCTCACAGAAAGTAGTCCGACATGATCCAGCATTTCGGCAAGAAAGCGAGCGGTATAAGCGCCTCGCGAGAACCCAAAAAAATAAATGTCGTCTCCAGGAGTGTAATATCGCATCAAAAACTACCAATCTGTCAGTCAAACAGCTCATGGTAACTGAGACGCTAGATTCCAGGGGCTCTGTACAAACCCGCTTGGGAGGAATTTGCCAACGTACCTTGTATCCTGCCATAACGTGCATGTCAAAGGACGTTCCTGGTGGCGTTAGATTATGCAAACCAACCAATAAGGGCAAACATACCGATTGCACTGTCTTTTGCTTTGGCATACCATGATTGAAATCTTTCCCATCGGCCTGTTCTGGTCATGGAACCACTAGCTTTGGTGATATAAGTGCCAATACCCGGCTGGTAGTAATGAAACTGGTCATCACCATTGCGATCAAGCATGCGATAGATCTTAAGAATATTACTGTCTGAATCTGTGCCAGAGAACTTGTTACCTGTGCCGTCAAAACACAAGACAAACTTCTTGGTTACGTGGCCTTGACGGTGCGGTGTAGCTCCGTAGTCCATTGGATTTTCGCTGCGAACCGATGTGGCAGGCTGGGGTACAGGCATCTGCGAGCGCAGCTGCTCGGTATTCTTGGAAGTCATATTGGCCAAGTCAAGATGCGAGCGGGAGAGGCTCGTGGTTTGGGGAAGATATCAACCAGGTCTTGGAAAGTGGAGATTTCAATGCATCAGACACGCAAAGAGATATCCACCGGCAGCAGAAGGCCGCGGAACAAAAGTCTGCAACAGGGTAATGCGCGTTTCTTCTCCTCTACATTAGCCGGCGCGTGGTTTTCTGGCAAGCAAAAGTGTCGATCACCAAGATTGACGCAGGATGCATAAGGTCACACCCACCTACGGCTCGATAGGACAGCGCGGTGATGAGACCGAGCCGTCCAGGAGCCAGTAAGAGGCCACTGGTAGATTTTAATCAGCTCCGTTCATCACATGCATTCGACCGATAAACAAACTAGCTCGCCCTACTAGTCTATTGCATGAGTATCCACCTGCCGCACACGGAGGAGACATGAGGCGCAAGTGGCCCGCATGCGAAGGCGAAAATCAACAGAATGCACGGTGGGGACTCGAGACAGACCGCTCCTGTGTTTTTGTTATACATCAGTGCAAAAAAAAAGGAAGCGGAACATGAGCTGAGGTAACACGGGGACAAGACATTTGAGGCCGGGTTTGACATGGCGATGGACCAAAAGGTACCCAGTGAAGGCAGCATATGCAAGTGTTACGAACGGCAGGCATAATGATGTTGCTTTGCTTAGGGCGCGGAGAGTCACGTCGTGCCGTCAGGCGTGTCGATCGGCGGTGATGTGAGGAGCTGAGGTCGATGGGGTCGCCGACACTGGCTGCTGAAAAGCATGTCCAATCTCGTCCACATGCGGCTTAGCGCCTGCCCTGCGGCCGATCAATTACGGGCCGCCGCTAAGATCCCTACCCAACCCCCCCTTGTTCCGTCTCGTCTATCGATCGTCGTCTTGCTTGATCTTGTCCATTCCTGGTCAGCCACAATAAGCGGAGAAAAATGGCCGCTTCCACAATAGTGTAGCTACTCACTAGAACGAGCACCACGCGTGTGCCAACTCTTGAGAACGAGACATGATGAATTGCCGTTGCAAAGATTGAGCTTTCCAACCGTGTTACACCGAATTTAGGGCTCGTTGCACAAGGATTTAACCGGACATTTTGGGATACGCAGTTCTTGCCCGCAGAGTTTGGCGCACCAGGAGATCGTCCCTAGTAACATACCACGCAGCGCCTGTGCCTGTAGCCCGGTCAGCATGGCCTTGCATATCCGGGACAGGCCGCAAACCGCGGAAAGGCGGCCCCTAGCACCCTACTCGACAGGGTGGTTTTTGAGGCGTGTTCACGTGCTTCTTCCCCAGCCACCACGACCGGACGGCTTGCCAGTCAGTACGTCTCCTGCTCGCATTATCCACCTGCCTGCGAATTCCGCTCCGCTTCCTTTGGAATACAACTTGTTTGGTTGCTTCACCTTTCAACCCCATTTCCCCGCCTGGTTCACGTACCCGATAGACAGGTGCATCCGTAGGTCCCCTGCAGATTTCTTCTGCTTGACAGCTCATAGTGACACCGACATCTGCAGCGAGCTATATTGCCCGACCTATCAATCGTGCATCCTGCAAGTCAATGGGGTGGAAGGGATCATCTACAGGTCTGATCACCGCTGTTGATGCGTGCGATCGAGGCAGACGTGCAGTGTTCAGCCGTGGATCAGTGACCGTGCTACGAGATCCCACTAGTGATCTCATTCACATGGCCGCAGAGCGCCAATAAGATCGACGGGAAAGCTGGCGAAGATAGCGCAAAGGTCCAAACCCCATTATACACAATGCCCATTTACGCATAGCTCCAAAAACGCCCACTGACGATATCTGGAACTGCTCACCGAGCCGACATGTTGATCACTGCATCATGCCTGCAAGCGATCGTCGCCCTGCACCTTGCTTCTTGTCGCTGGACGAAGGGTCTGCGCCGGGAGCACGCCGCCTATCAGTGCCCATTGCTCTTTTCGCAAGCTACTTTGCTCATACTTGGAGACTTCCCCGCCTAATACATACCTCAAGTTTTCCTTTCCTTTCCTCTCACATGCTCATCATAATCACTATTCACCATGCCAGGCCAATTGTCAACGTTGATTGAGAAGATCAGAAAGAAGCCTACGCGCGCCAGCGATGGCAGGTCAGCAGAGGCCTCAAGTGGGGGCGTCAAGGCCAACAACAGGACCAGCGTCATGAGCGACATCACAGGCCTTGGTGTTAAGAATACCAAATTTGCTCTAGAAGCCATCACCACCCTAGCTTCTGGTGAGCCTCTAGATGACAAGGACCTGCTCCTTGAACATGGCGTCGAGATGCTGCAGGGCTTGCCCTTGAACAGCGGTCTCAGCGCAAAAGTGTCTGATGGCT